TTCAGATCTCCTGAATCGAATTAAATTACTTTCAAATAATCTGAAAGAATTAGCAATCTTCAAAATTTTTTTAGACACTAATTTGTTAATAAATTGTAAATAAACTTTTTTAATTCATCGATGCAATTTGCTTCTACGAATAACAGGATCCTTTTTTTATTTAAACAAAACTGAAGCGAAAAAGATCTTTTAAATGAGAAAAATAATAATAAACGCGCAGTTTTTTTGTTTTTGTAAGAAAAATGCATCCTGGAATAGTTGAAATTCAATACAAAAGGAAAGAATTCCCGTAAAGAATATTCAAAAAATAAAGTAAGGTTAAAAAAAGAAAAGTACAAAGAAACTTATGAAAAATAATGTGTTTTCCATTTTAAGTACTGTATTTTGCTATACATTTTATGCATTTGGGAATTCTACTTATCCTGATAAGAAGCTGAATGCAAAAGTAGCTTATTTATTATTTTTTAAATTATTTAAATAAGCTTGAATATTCTTTGAAGTTTCAGTGCTTTATTTATTTTTTTTTTATTTTATCTTTTTTTTTTAATCAACGCCCGAATCTTTAATTATTCTAATAAAAATGTAACTTGCATTAATATTGAAAAAACAAAAGCTTAACTCTAAGAATATATTTACTTTTACATAAAAATAAACAGAGATTCAAATCTTACTCCGAATATTTTTCTTTTTCTGGGCAAACAGAATGTGTTAAAAATGTATTTTTGAGTAAACAGCTGAAAAAATTATTTTTCATTTAAGCGTCTTAACGTGCGCAAAAGTTATTTGTTTTGCGGCGGATGCTTTTTAATAAGAGACTCTCCAAGGAGTACTGATTTGTATTTATTAACTCACCCTAGGGCAAAGAAATTCCTTTGTTCCTGATGAAGGGGACCTGTACCTGTTTGCCCTCGAAATCTACTTAGTCTTGACTAAAACCTACGCCAAACAAAAAGTTGCTGTTTTTCTAATTTTACATTAATCAAATTGACTGGAGCATTCTTTTTCGTACATTTGTTGTTGTTGTCTTGTCCATATTATATGGAACAATGGCTGCCAGAGCCTACTCCAAAGAAAGGTTGGACTTCTATTTTCCATCCCCCAATTTTGAGGGAGAGAACTCCGGGAGGAAGGAGTCTCAAAAAATATTATGAGTTGTCTCTCTGCCATCCCTCTTCCCATCCAGCAATCCACATGAGAGGACTTTCGGTCGCCGCATATTTAGTGCCTCCATGCCGCACTGATACTATACATTTACAAACATCCATGTCTTTTTCGGGATTCGAACCCGGGCCCTTCGGCACCGTAGTAGGCTAATCTAATCACTATCCCGTTTGGGCTACTTTCGTGCATTTTAAACAACAGATATGATTACAAATAATAAACTTCATTGAATTTTATGTATTTTTAATGAGTATTAAGTAAAACAAGAAAGAACTATTTTCAAAATCTAACTTTGATTTAAGATCTGCACACAGACACACACACACACACATATATATATATGTATGTAAGATATACTAAAATACGATGACTATGTTAAGTAATAATTGGCAACCTCAAAATTGACAACTCTAAATTTGATGTTCTCCGCCTAAGTTCATCCCTTCTCCCAAATTTGAGATCTTTCCAAATTACATGACACTGCTTGAAAAAGATAACTAACACTAAAATTAACCGATCACCAGTTAGCTTCACATATGCACCTATGTAATATAAATATTGCGTCGCGAGCAATGACGTCTTCCTTTTTTCCTGGCTTCTGCCATATAAACAACTATTCGCCACTTGTGCTGTCTAAGATGATTACGACCTTGCTTTTAAACTAGTGTACATAAAAAAATATTGTATTCAAAGATGACTGAAAAGTAATTTGTCTGCCAAAGTGATGATCATTTCAATTCATTTTTGTTAGCTGCTTCATCAAGTTTTCACTCTCAGCCACACGAATACATTAAAATATTATATAGATATATAGATAAATAGATAGAAATTTAGAACCAATTTTTCACAAAGACTAAAAATTGAAATTAAAATGATCATCATAAAATCCTATAAGTATAGAATAAGAATATTTTAAAATGTAAAAATTAAAATAAACCATCACAAGAAAAACCAAAGAAGAATATAAAAGAACAAGAAAGGAGTCCAATCACCTTCGACATAATGTCGTCAAGATATATATATATAAATCTACGTAAATTGAATCAATTTAAGATAGATAAGTTTTGACTAAAGCAAATATACTTAGCTCATAAAAAATTCTGAAAAATCATACTACGAATATGAAGGAAATAAGAATAAAATGTATTATTTAATTGCAGTGAAATTCAAAATTGCTTAAAAATCTTTATGTCACTCTGAAATTCTCTTTATCGAATAAATTTATCTCTTGGACTTATTCTTCAGTATTCCCATTGGAACATTCAAGCAACATTATCGACTCTTTTCTCGAATTTCTGTCAAAATAATGTCTCACGCGTTAAAATGTTTCACAGTTATATTTTCCACATATATCCTTACAAAATGTTATATACTTAAAATGTTTCGCAGTTATATTTTCCATATATATTCTTTATAATATTATAGTTTTTGATATGGAGTAAAAATATCGTATGGAACTAAAGAATGGATAACTTTTCTGCATCTGCAAGTATAATGAGAAAATTATGATCTCATTTTAAGCCTGAAGAAATTTTAACGCCTATCACCGAGAAGCACTTTTACACATCAAAATTTTACATTAATATTGCTTTCATGTAAAACATTGTTTTTGTTACTTTTAAGGCAATACTACAAGGAATTTTAAAGTTAAAAGCAAATATATTACACTGAATCTTCTTCCAGTACATAAAATATGTCGCAGATCAATATTTTTCAAGCAAAACCTTTTATTTTAAACTTAGATTCAAATTCATTTACCTCAAATAGAATATAAGATTACCACACTTCATTTCGAATCTAAATCAGCATATTGTTTCATTTATTAACGTCTGTGAAAATTATGTATTTAAATTTATTTATGTACAATAAATCAAGTGGGAACAACTAATAATACTTTAACAAACACAGTTGCATATAAATTTAAAATGAATTAACTTACCTATAGTTCTGCTCGTAGAAGCCAAAAAAGTATGAAAACTTAATTTATGAACTGAAATTTATTACATAATTTACTTTCAAACAATGTTTGACTAAACTTTGTTTCATAAAAGAAGCCTGCTGAACATTTTACTTTATTTTGACAGAATATTGAAATACCTTTTACTAGTTAAAAATTCCTATGTAAGGAAATATTCTGTATTGAGATTAGAAGCTCTTAATAGTTATGCTTATTATTGTTATGCTGTTAACTCTGATATCAGATACAAACTTTTGAGCAATAAGATAAATAAACGCACACTATATGCAAAAAAGAAAAACGTCCACTACATGTTGCTAGATGTAATTAACTTAAACTTAGTAGAGCAGATTAAAAACTACGTATTTAAATGTGGAAAGAAGTACTTTCTTTGAAACACATTCCAGCAAAAAAAGAAAACACTTATTTTGGGGATTCCTTTTTTTTAAAATTCTTTTGAGCTTTATTTTTCTCAGAACCATCTCAAACTGTCATTTAGAGCAAAAGGGATTTCTTTCTGTACATTTTATTTTAATTAGGTATAATTTGTAGTGTAAAGACAATGCACAGAAACTGAAAAATGAAATATTGAATTGGTTTATTTCATGGCTTTATTCAAGAGTAAAATATGAGTTTAAGCTTAGAATTCTAAACTGAAAAAAATTATCTCGGTGGTGTCTTGTACTTTCTCGTTAATTTTAATTTAACAGAAATTTTTCCTCCACTCAGAGGCTTCAGAGGCTTTACTCCTAGTTGTATGGAATAAAAACATGTAAAACAACTTTTTAACTTACACGAGATTTTAATAAAATATAGACTAAAATGTTTCAGAAATCACACAGTTTTTTGTGTTACGGGATTAAAATTAAAACTGTTGAGTGGTTTCTAAGAGCACAGAACTGAGAAATTAACAGAATTTTAAGGAAGTGACATCAGAAGAAATGACAAAATAAAATGTCAATATTTGATTTAATTCATTTAAATTTCTCTTCGAAAATTTTATTGAAAAATCTGTTATTATTTGTATCCTATTGAGTTTAATTTTAATCACGTATAACCCATAATGTGTGACAACGAAAAATTATTGTTTACTTTTTCTGCGTTTTATTGACACTTTTTAAAGTAAAAGTTTATATATATATAATTTATGTACATATATGTGATTCATCACTTATACAATAGACTTATTTCCTTACTTATAGTTCTTTTAAATGTCCCAATGAAGCCAAATAAACAAACGGCTGATTAATCAGAAAAGACTTAACAAAATAGTATATATAGATCGTAAATCAGATTTTAAAAATATAGAAAACATATATTTTTGTATGTAGGAATCTTTACAAAATAATTATTTATTTAGCTAAAAAAAGTAGTTATTTTCTTTTTCATGCTTTTAATTTTTGCTTTTAATTCAAAATCACATCACCTCTTTCATAAAAATGATAGAAAGTAGAAAAAAGGTTTTACAATACAATATACTATCGTATCTCAGTTTCAAATGGTTTAGTTTCATTTAAACATTTAACTTACATGAGATTTAAAGTTTATGATAATTTTAAACTTGATCGTATTAAATATTAATTTTATATTACATCATTATACAGTTTCTAATTAATGATAAATGACTTGCATGACAAATCATTATTCAATTATATATTACTTTTTAAACTTCATAATCAATCGACCACATTTTTTCATTTCCAATTTACCATTATGTATAAAAATATTAAGTGCCGAGATTTCATTTTTTTAGCTTGGCATAGAGTAGTCAGTTTATTACGGTACATGCAATAATATGATATGCAATATTTTAAACTTTGTTTCTCTCTTTAAAAGAATATTTATTTTTCTGAACACAGTTTACACATACTCTCTTTTATAGGTGAGTGGCCATTTGGAGAATCTATGTGCCAGCTGCAAGCATATATTGAAGCCATGCTCAGAAATGCAGTTATTTGGTACCTCAGCCTCCTGAGTATAGAAAGGTATGATATAAAATTGAGCTCTTTTGAATTGAGAATATAGAAAACTTATAAGAATAACCTAAAATTAATCTCAGGAGATAATATAATCAATATAATTTAATATATATTATAGTATTAATTTTTATATAAAATAACAAATTTTAGTTCCGATTAACTTTAATAATTTAAAATATCAAATTACTCACAGCAGATTAGCTCATATTCAATTGCGCATATTTAATTCTCAGAACCGATACTAATTCAGAACTATTTCAGTAGTATTAGAGTTCATTTTGGATGTGCATATTTTTTTTTCCTTAAAAATTGTTATTTTTCTCCAATACTTTGGATTTAATTTCCTTTAATAATTTTCTCTACAGCCCGATTAACAGAATAGCGTGCTTCCTTCGCAGCGTGTTCAACACTCATTCCATTTATTTCAATCTCAGATCCTATGAGTAATTCTCTCGTTATTTATGTTATTATTGCATGTTCACGAATCGTTTCAAAATCAATCTTCTTTACAGTTATTGTACCCTTCATGCATGCAAACGACATTCAAAGTAATGTAAAAGATTTCACTCCAGTATTTTAAAACTCATTTATCATTGCGTGGATAAAGTACCAATGCAAAAATTTTCATGAAATATTTACCTTTTTTTTTTTTCCTTATTTTATTATGATTCTTATATGTTTGCATTTTATACTTCACGGTAAATAAAACAGAAGAAACATGGAATTTAAATTTTGCCATAAAATTGTTTTCTTTGACTTTACTGATTGATTTGTCCTTTAAGGATGCAGGCTACGTCCTTAAATGTTGAGCAATTAGAAATTTCCTCAGCTATACACATTTTCCCAGTCTTTAAAGTTCATCAACACTGGCAGCAGAAACCTGTCCTTTCCCACAAAGGTCAAACGTGGAAGCCATACTAAGTATTTGCCACCCTTTTCTCTCACTATTTTTCTCCAGGGTGGGGGTTATTCTACCCTCCATCTTTGATTCGGAAGATACCCTGATCATAAAATCAGGACTCTTGAAACAGTAGTCGTGAGGCGGTGGTGCGTAGAAACCTCAATATGGCGACTGACTCTCGGTACAGCTCCTCTATCCTTAAAATCATTCTTCAGTCAACTGGTTTACAATCAAAGCCATAGATCCAAAACAGAAACGAAACAAAATGCTTTATCTTTCTACAGTTTTCTTGGTGTTTGCATTATTTAATTTTCAAAGTATTCTCATGTGTTTTTTATAACAGATTTATAAATAAAATATAAATAGTTAAGAGAAAATATTAGTGAATATTTTTTTTAAATAAGTTATACGTAATTTTATTCGCTCCCGCTCCGAGTTATATGGTCATTAGCGGAGGTTAATTGCTAAGCGTGATCTGTAGCAGAAGGCTCCATTCCCGGTTAAGGCTTGGCTTTTGTGCCACGTTCTTCCTCTATTGTGGATGCAGTATCAGTTATGTAAAGTACCCTAAGCAATGTCTCGTTGATGAGAAGGTTAAAAAAATGTGCAAGTCATTTCGCGTCAAATGCTTTAGGGGAAAGTGCCTGTCCTTTGGGAAAAAATACTTTCAGTCTTAAAATATTTATTTAATTAAATTATTTATTAAATTAAATATTTTAAGATAAAAATAACTTCAAAAATATCTCTTGTTATTCAAATATTTTAAGGAGCTGATAGCAAATGAAATATATTTTGATTATTTACTTATTTCCGTGTGCAGACTCATAATGAGAGCGAACTATTTAAAACACTGCCGTCCACAATTTGAGCAAAAAACTGTTTTTCTTTAAAAAATACAGATTAAAAAAATTGTTTACAGGAAAAATAATAACACGTTATAAAAAACGGGTAAATATGAGTTACATGGCCTACAAAAAACTTTGAGATCATGACATGCAACTAAAGCTGAGTAATTGAGCTGTTAGTATGAGGTTTACGTATCGTTGGCAAACTGCGAACGTTATATGAAAATAAATAATATGCTCGCTGTTCGAAACGGCATCGAGAACACTACAATACTTAATCTACGTATCAAAGCAATTATTAATCTCACGAAATATTTAATACATGTTTGATAAATTGCTAATTCCGAGATTCTTTAAGCAGACTTCTGTGATCTTACAGCACAAGTTAACATATTTCTAAACTAGAAGCCAATAAATTTATTAACCGCTAAGAACAAAGTTTAAATATGAACCGTATTAAACCGACTCCGATCTGATTTTGCGTACTAGTAGAAATGGCCTTAAACACCTGGGTGCCTAGGCACAAGGCCTGAAAATTTTTACCGATTACTAATTTTCATAGCATGCAAACCATGAATTTAGAATGTCCATGGGTTAAGAAGAATTCATAGCAGTAAAAGATTTGACCCAGAGGCGATTCGAACACGCAGCTTTCTGATATAGAATCAGACGCGCTGCCGTTGTGCCACATAAACAGAACTACATGAAACATTTCCTTACAGCGAGAAAAAAAAATCTGCTGAGATCGAACTCACAACCTGAAGCTCCACGCAAAACGTAGCACTTTTACGATTGTGCAAAACAATTGATCTAGTTAGTTTGGTTTAGTTTAGTTCATTATGGCAAAGTACACTAAGGCTATCTGCCCTAGGGAAGGCATGCCTTCACGGAGGACTTTCTATGGGAAAAGATCTGTATAGAGAAAACCACGAAAACGCCCATATGTCTAACCCGATCTCCTGGAATCGAATCCAGGTCGAAACTACCAGTGTTAAGCGGTTTTACCGCTCAGCTGCTGGTGGGCCTCCTGAGCTAGTTAGACGTACCCCTATTAGCAGAGTGAATTCAGACCTTCCTTCTTCTCCACAAAGAAAGTTATTCGCATTTTGTATTGTTGTGACTTATCACATTTATCTGACAGTAACATCAGATCACGTGAACGAATCACACCAAAAAGGCAAGGATTGCACCTATCGTAGACTTAGGCTTTGGGCATCTCATAGGTGACAGTATGAATTTGCTATCCAATTCCGTCCGAGGTTTAAAGGACAATCTCCCACGGTATAAATCCAACGGTTACTCATCCCTCTTCACCTTCCACTTACCTTGAGAGGAATTTCCCCTTGAACAGAATTTTAAGTGCCTCTATGCAGCATAGACAGTATACACTTAGAAACCCCCTTCCCTACTCAGGGATTTTAACCCGGATCCAAGGCTGTGGCAGCCGGCTTCCTTGCCACTCCGTCTACAGGGCGGTTCGCATTTCAGAATTCAGAATTCATTGGAAATGGAATACACAATTAAAACGTAACACTGGTATTAGTATTAGATGCAACTAAAACAACCAACTTTTATGAACTATCTTCTCTCTCCTTTATGCATGCTTTCGTGGTGTAATAGTAGCACACTCGGCGCGTGTTTTGAGTGGTCCAGGTTCAAGTCCCGGCGAGGGCATTGCTCTTTTTTCATGTCTCCTGCTTCAAAATATCTTAATGACTCTACAAGCTGATAAAACTGAAAATTAAAAAAAAAAAACACCTTCCTGACGTTATTTTCCAACGACAGAAAACTTGATTTCATTTAGAATAATTGTTATTCCTTTAGCCTGTATTAATCGAGCCTTGAAACTATTATATTTAATTACTTAAACATGAAAATAATCCAACATGCAAGGTAACTTGTTACATGAATGATGCTACCATCATCTATCTACAAATCACTCCTCCAAACTTTTGATTATCCATCTTACAGGACAAAATAATCGCCTTTGAGAATTGGTGTAAAAAATAAGAGAGAAAGCTAGAAAACAAGGCAAATCTACGATGATAGTCATCAAAGGACATAAAAAAGTTCAGAAGGACTAATGATGATTATCTCTTCAACAAGAAATCTCCAAGAGTTTCGAAGGAGAACTACTTTGATGTAATTATTTCCATAAGTTTATCATAGTGTTTAATGTCCATTCTACTTGCGAAGAAGTATAGAATATGTAGGGGAAAAGGTAGCTATTCTATATCCTCCTATGTGGTCTTCAAAGGAAATGGAAACCGTATATAAATCTTTGAGCAGTCCTAAGATCCATCTGTTGAGATCCTTACTGCTTAATTGGGGGCAGAAAGACGATGCCAATCATGTATTTACATGATAGAAAATGGCTTATTTTGTATTGATTAATTTTGTTAATTTTCTTCAGCATTTCCATCACTGCTGCAGTATTCAAAAAACATTAATATTTCGTCAAAGATTTATTTTGTAAGAAACGAAGCAAAATGCACTAAATCATTGCATTTTCTATAGATCAGCAAAAATTAATCTTTTTGTCTTCGTTTGTTAGGAAAATTATAAAGTTAAGTGCACAAATCAAATTAAAAATCATAAAATTAAGTTAAAAAAAATTGTTTTTCAAACAATTGTTTACAAATTATAAAATTAAGTGCACAAAAATTAATTGTCAAGCACTGGTTTAAAAATTATAAAATTAAGAGTACAAAAATTAGTTGTCTAACACTGGTTTAAAATTATAAAATTAAGTGCAAAAATCAAATGTCAAACACTGGTTTAAAAATTATAAAATTAAGTGCACAAATCAAATTAAAAATTAAGTGCAGTTCGTTACAGAAATTATACATTAAGTGCACAAAAAAATCTTTGTCAAACTTTGGAAAACGGTTTAAGTTGCATATTAACTACTTTAGCAAAATTCCATTTTCAGTTTCCGTTATCATCTTTGAATTATTTTTAAGTTAGGATAATTTATTCAGGCAAATTATACAAGAGCTACCTATCTGAGGGAGGGACGTCTTCATGGAGAAATTTTTAATAGAAACTGGCTCGTATTCACAACCCATTTGTAGAAATCCACGAAAAAGCACATGCAGCCAGGCCATTCATCGGGATTAAGATGCACTTTGGAATTAGTTCATGTAAACGAATCATTAGTGAAAAAATGAGAAATCTATGCTTAATATAGAGGCTTCGATAAATAGCATCGCATTATTTGAAGAAATAACAGGCCAAGCAACTGTTTAAATTTACTGGTTGTTTGACTTTCGTTACCATCTTGTAGAGACATTAGGTTAGAAGCAGAAGAGGTGAAAAAGGAAGGTGATTTCTCATTTTTCACCTCTTCGGAAGCAGAAGAGGTGAAAAATGAGAAATCACCTTCGTCGGGAATCGAACCACGGACCTTTGGAATACCAACCCAGCATGCAGAACCACTACACCACGAAGGCACGCTAAGAAGGTGGGATAAATACTTTAGAACCTTTTGTTACTTTTATTATTTAACTTATTATCATAAAATAACCTGTTTTGTAATTGCTTATTTCAACAGTAACTCTTCTGAGGCAATGATAGCAATATTTAACCTCCTAACCTCCTCTAATGAAAGTGCCACATTATAGCTCTAAATATTTATTCCAGAATATTACTGATGCCAATTGTATTTTCTTTTAGATATACAAAGCACATTATGCCTCACGAATACCTTGCGACCTTCAGTCCTCTCACTGTCAATATCATCTTACTAGGTATTCTGCTCATTGTAATCGTGCAAGTAACAGCTCCTCTTTACGGATGGGGAAAATATGAGTATATTCACGGTAAGTACTGTTAAGGACTGATATTACACATTTAGCTTCAAAAGATTCTTTCTAAAACAAGTTTCAAACTTCAGCGGGAATCTAAACTCAAATCTGCAGTCCTTATTTTTTCGTACTCATTAGCCCATTGAGATACTTCCTTTATGTAGTTTTTTTTTAAAGGTTAGGGGCGTAAAAAGCTACATATAGAAGTAAAGCATAAAATATTAATGAAGTGTAAGAAAACTAATATGAGAAAAGTGTACAAGTTAAAATTCGAATAGAGTACAGAGAATAACTCATATTAGACTAGGACTAGAGACAGTTTTTGCCTTATTGCAAGGTAAGAAATCAACCAAGCATCTTTCATTGTAAAATGAGTGATTAATCGTTTGAATGAGTTCGAAGATAAATTTTACAGTTTAATTCCTTAAAAGATGCTTTGGAAGGGGAAAACACGATTTTAGAATTCAGTTACCAAACCAAGGAGGAGAGGTGGATATGAAAAGGATTAAAGAAGATTTTTTTTTTTTTTCTGTATTTTTGATTGCCACATAGCTCTGAAATTTATTTTCAAATCAACAACTTAGACATAAGTGCTATTTTTTTCTCGGTATGAATTGCAAAATGATATCCCTTCAAAACAGTTTCATGTAGAGCTGAGCGGAGATTTACAAAACGGAAAAAAGAGATCGTATAACTTTTACATTCAGAAGTATTATTTCAATTCTTGTCAAAATTTCTTTGTCTAAAATATATATTAAGAAAAGCATTTCATTAAGTCAAAAGGAGAAACATTTATCTGTCAGGCACCGAATGACTGAAGGTTAAATTATCCGGATTCTGTTAGATTACATGCCATAGATGAAATTTATAGATATTTTACCGGCAAATGTATGAAAAACCGGCATTCTAGAGAATATATAGTTAATATACAAGGTTTTTATTAAAATTAACCAGTTATTTATAATTTTAGTCTTTACTCTAGCTTTTCCTTTCCGTTTCCTCACCATAATGTAAATGCGTGTAGCTAGTATTTAAACCGAGGCTTTGGGATTGTAAGACAGAGCATGTTTATGGCCTGCCCGCGCACGCTACGCTTAGTTCTTGCCAGCTCTGATAAGTTGTAATTGTTCGGCTTTGCATTATCACTGCCGGCATTTGAATCTGATACGTCAGTTGAGTTACTGAGCCAGCGTAGAGTATATTTAAATTGTGGAGTCTTTGACTACTTTACTACGTTTTAACTTGAATTTGACTAGTTTGTTTAGTTACACCACCACTAGTTTTGGTTGATTTTATTAGCACAAGAACGTATATTTATGTTCAAAATGTTTTTTAAATATAATGGTTTACTTAAACATTTCTCTGACTCTGTTTGTAACTTTCATACATAGAGATAATTCACTTCGCGTCTTTTAGGGGTTTGGGGACGAATTAACTTTTACGAAATCAAGGAAAACCTCATAAATATATAGAATATGTGGCGTTTGGGGGCAAAGTATGAACTATCCGAATTTTTCAATATTATGTATATAATAAACATATATGCACATATATACTTTTCCTAGGCATTGTAGGTAAAACCTAGCCTTTGTAGAATGGCAAACGCTATTTAGCAAAGTATTAAAAAAGAGTTTTAAGAAAAGGCTTTCATTGAAATGACGTGATGTAGAACTTGATAGCACTAACACCTTTACAGAATAAATCAGTTTGCTTTTCACTTACGTCACATCATTAACGATTCAGCAGTCTACAGTACAATTGTTCCTTCTTTAGCAGTCCTTTCCTCATTAATTTGCAGTAAATATAGTTTCTGTAAAAAAAATTGCGGCATTGGCTCTCATTTTAAAGACAGAATCGTCGTTGCATGTCAGCATGTCATGGTTCATTCTTGGACATTACACCTTACTCTTACATTTTCATACGGCACAGTATCGGCTAGAATCTTTACTGAAAAACTTAAAAGTAGCGTATTTCGTCACTTCCGCCCAAAGACGTCGTAAATGGGAATTCTCCGTTTGAGGCGAGAGTCAGAAGTTGACATCAAAAACGTCATTAGCGAGAGTATTTTATTATTTGCCGATATGTCTTTCATCATTGCATGGATTGCATAGTGGAGATTAGAAACGTCAGCAGCGAGACTGTTTCACACTTTGCCACTTTCTCTTTTGGCATTGCGTATAATGCCTAGGAGATGAGTGAAATATTAATTGTTTCTTATTTTGACGTCCAAATTTCGACATACTATACATTGCCTAGGCATTCTATACAATGCCTGCTCTCATACGTTGTCGTTAACGTATATATAAAACAAGATGGATAAACTAATAAAAATTAAGCAGGTTGATAATTAGTTATGCTGAAGCTAATAATGACTACCTGTCGCAGGAAATGTAGTTGTAGGAAAGGAAATTTTTTCTTCTAAGAAAAATTACTTAATATTAATATTATATAAAAATTTAAATTCAGCCAGAATCCACCAAGACCTCAGCTTTTGAGTGAAATTGTAATTTAAATCGCAACCTTGAATAAAATGAGTTTGAGCATTTTATTGTATTTTTATTTGCCATTAATTTCACTAATTTATTAATTTTTCTTTATATCTTTGAATTTTATTTAACTTTAATTAGTAGTAATTGTTTATTTTATTTTTCTGTTTTTGTTCACTTTTCCTAATGGCCTTCCTCTGGGCTTCAGGCAATTTTACAATTTTAAAACTTAAAGTTAAAAAAATAAAAACTGTTCGTAATAAAGCTGCCATTTCGGAGGCCGGATGAGGAATAAGATTACCAATATTTAATAGCTTTCATCGTTTCTCCTCTGATGGGCAAATCACATGTATTAAAATATTTCACATAAATTTCATCTTTTGTCAATTGCTACAGAAAGCTTTCAGCTCCACCTGTTAAATTTAGTTAGGTAATTCATTTCAACGAAACTTCAAAGAATATTTATAATAGATTATAAGGTATGTGTCCATAGAGCACTTTTAAAGTTAAGTGACTCCTACGTGGCTTACAAATGGTGAAAACCACGAAAAGTCCATGCAGTTCATTTGTCGGAAACCAAATCCAGACAAAATTACTGGTATTTAGTTATCACAGCTCCGAAGTTCTTTTATTAACTGTAACTTTTTTGCAGTTTACTCCTACATCAAACTGTATTTTCAAAAATCTTTGTGTGATAACGTAATTAGAGATAACAATATCTTTATTGAAAAGTTAAAACAGCAGAAAATATTTTCTACTAAATACACTTGCCATTTATTGAAGTTGTACTACACAAGAACTGAAACGAGTATAGCGCATATTTGATGTTTAATATAAACTATACTTTCTTCATTTACTCATACTAAAAGAGTGAAAACTCTACAGGAAACGTGTCTCAGCTCATTGCAAGAAACAAAGTCATCTGATATCTTGAGGAAAATAACTAATAACCCAAAGGGTCATTTGTATGCAGTATTTTGTTTTTAAAGTGAAGGATTCCTGTACTGTAAACTACACTCAATTTTTTTTTTCTTTCGCATATTTTTTACTGTGCAGTCGTCCCCCGCTTTTCGAGAACCCCTTAAAAAATCCTTTCATTTAAACGAAAATCTACAAATTGGATACATATTTTCTTTTTACGATCTAATTCTTTCAGTGTAAGAAATTTAATTTCAAAAACAAAATTAATTTCCTAATTTACTGTACATTAAGTGTGTTAGATTAGATTTAACACACTTAATGCACACAAATGTACAGTACATTCAGAAAATAATATGCAGGAAGTCATTTTGGTTCTTTAGGCGACCAAAATACTACATTTGTAAGCTAAAAATACGTGGAATCTCTTTTCAACGATTACCAGTTTTCAGATAGCGTTCTATTTCTAACCTTCCGAATAAGCGGGGAATGCCTGTAGTAATGATTCTTTGATCACTGTAAATGGGGAACTCGTTCACAAATAAGTGATGATTATAAAACTGTTTCTTTTCAGATACAGGCTTATGTGGAACGGCTACAACTTCAACCTTTGGGTGCTCCTACGCTCTGTATCTTCTTCTTTCACTTACACTGCCACCTTTATCAGTAATTATGGTAAATGGAGTTCTCCTCTCGTATCAAATGTGCAAAAAATCAAAGGCACAGGAAACAACAAAGAGAAGCATGTCTTGCGGTAACTCTCGTATTTTGAGTTCAGAAAAGGAAATACCTTCGCTTGTTGCTTTTATGGTACTTTTTGTCATTATGAGCATTCCTCGGTGCATTGCAGACGTTGTTATTATGTGCAGCGAAACATACCATCTTCTGTCCCCATTCATCTTTAGCATCTACTTTTTAGATAGCCTAACAAGCGTTTTATTACCAGTTCTGTGCTTCAGCATGCATCCGAGATCTCGCCAGATATTGAGTGAAGTTTTTAGAAAGAAGGAAAGTTGTATTCCTGAAAAGCCTATAGCCTAAAATGACATACATTTATGATTCTTAATGTTATGACACTCCATCTGTAATCAAATATATGTTTTTATGCATATTATTATAAAACTGGCATTCAGTTTAAAAACCAGTGTTTAATGTTTTCAATTATGTCATCGCCATCATATTAACATTTGATGTCATAATGGGTGTTGTGTAATGATTTTTAATGTCATGTAATAAATTTCGAGAAAAATTCATTATCTGTGGCGCGAAAATGTTCATTGTAATAAAGTTTTATCAAAAATATCAGCTGTTTTTTATATAGTTAGCATAACAGAACAAAGTGATTTTCACATCAGCTGTTTTATTCCGATTGGTTTCATACAAAATTAAAGTACTTTCGGAAGACAGCTGCCAAAATTTATTTAGATATCATGATTAGTTTTCCTACTTGCACTGAAATTTTTCGTCAGAATTCTCTAGATGATATTTCAAATTACTATATGATATTTCAAAGGATAAGAATCGCAATGTTTACAAAAACGTTCCATTGATAACTGAAATGTTTTGTGAGAAAAAATAAAAACTTCATTTCCCTAGAAAATTTCATTCTAATATACGCTATATATATATATATATATATATATATATGTGATGTACCAGCTTTTGTCCGGAATAAATAGAATGCTGAAGAATCATAGATGTCGTCGTAACTTAAATTATCAGACGATAAGTTTAAAAAGCAGGATCCATTTATTATTGGTCAGGAGAAATACAGTTACAAAAACATATTTTCGGAGTAATAAAAAAGAATTACTAATACTTTTGCACGAAGTTACTGCATCTTGACATTTAAGAAAAAGCCCCCGATATTCTTTTGCGAGTCCTTTTATAGCCTCTGGAAGGAGGAAGCTTCCAGAAATGACGTCAGCCTCGTCAGCCAATCCAGTTCGCTTTAATATTTCCAGAACATTCTATAACTGTACGTAGAAAAGCGGGAAAAACAACTTGACTACGGGGCTGTGGATTTATTCCACGTACTCCAATAAGAGACTGTGGCCATTAAAATGAAAGAACATACAGTTAGAATTTTAAGTGTATTCTTGACTATTGGAATTTATTATTACATATATATATAATTTCTTTAGTAAATAATTATATATATATATATATATATATAACTGTAATGAATGATTATGAGCTTTAAACTCTAACATTAGTATTAACCAATCATTTCTCTATTTTCAAATGAACTTCTCTTAAATTTTTTAATACATACATTGTCAAGATTTCGACATAGTTTCATAACTTATTTGCACTAATGCTTTGCAATTTATGAAGGTATACTGTGCTCCACATGAAGGAAAAACTGATGCCTACATAAATTGCAAAGCATTAGTGCAAATAAGTTATTGAAACTATGTCGAAATCTTGACAATGTATGTATTAAACAAATTTAAGAGAAGTTTCATTTTGAAATATAGAGAAATTATTTGGTTACATACTAATTGTTAGAGTTTAAAGCTCATAATATATTCAGTTACACCTATAGCACATTTAAATTTGTGACCTTAACATATAAAGTATATAATATGTAATATAAAATGTGTGTGTTTGTGTGCAAATGTATAAATATGTAATGATGTAAAAATATTGATTACGTAGATGTAGAAATACTGCACTTCGTAGATGTTGATCCATAATGAAAAACAAACTTGGCTGCCGAATAAAAATCATTTTTATTTCAATTAACACATTTGTGGCCACAATTCACTTGACCCTCTGACCTTGCCTATTTCAAACATTTTACATTTTTGATAGCTATAGGGTAAGAACAGAATCGTCTTAGCGGTAACAGAAGCAGAAGCAAAGTTCGCAATTATCAAATATGGCAGCTTATTAAGAGAAAGGTTTCGGGTTAGGAAATTTTAAATTCCGAATTAGCTAAAGTCATCATCGTTATGTAAAAGTCATACTGTATGGATTAATCTAGGAAGGACGCAGACCAAAAAAAGTTATTTCTATTTATAGAATAGAGAGGAGAAATACCCAAATTAAAATGAGGAATTAAAAGGCCACTGCTATTTGAAGTTAAAATTTTGTAATTTTGATTTACATATTTTTCATCTTACATACACACATACATATATATATATAGAGAGAGAGAGAGAGAAAGAAAGTGGAGAGTGAGAGAGAGATCATAAATTAAACAATATTTAATTAATAAATAAGTTTCATGTCGCTCAAAATGCTGCAAAATTAATTAAGAAAGACATTATATAGAATTAAGATCAACCAAATGTGGCAAATTTTCTTTCTAACAGGAAGGCACAAATTAAAAACAGTTAAATAAGCTACTGAAAACTGGAAAACAAAATTAAAATAAAAAGTTTTATTTTCCAAGTTCAGTAATTGTTCAGTGTCAATTCATATCAATTGTTTCTAACTTCTATTAGAAACTATTAACTTCTTATTAGAAAATTTGCCACATTTGGTTGATATTTTCTATATATTTTATCTCTTTCTTATAAGTACACTAGAGCAGAAACCTGTATTTATAGATATATATACACGTGTCCGGTCACTTTTAATTTATTTTAAATTTCTTGTTAAGGAAATATATATTTGACATAAAAACATATAAAGAAGACTTCAGATTTTAACTAGCAATAGTCAGTTATATTGTTCATTTTAATTTGGGTACTTCCCCTTTTTGTTTTAAATGTAGTAACTATTTATAATATATCAATCTAAACTGCGTCATACGATCTTACGTAACGCTGCAATGCAGATATCCTTTAGTCAATCAGTGAATAATATTTCATAGTACTTAGAATGTTCTGGATTTGAATGTTAACAAGAAAGTAACAAAATACGATATTTCCCATTAATAAAATTCTATAGAATTCAAATATCTTGTAGTGCTGTAGTTAATGACATGAGAAATAATAAATGGTAAAGCTCATATTATTTTGCTCGGTAAAATTATTGAGAAAACATAGTAACCATTTTAAAGTAATATATGGTCAGTTTTTAGGTAATTATAACCGATTCATAAATTCAGTTACCTCCCAAATAACCGGGCCTTGTCAAAAAAAAGGTTAAAGTTTGTTTATTGGGAAATGACGGAAAAATTACAATTACAACTACTGAAAATACGGACAGGAAAAAAATGCAAAGGATAACAGATGCGACAGCAAATGATACTGCCGTATTTAGGAAGTATTTTTGTTCACTGCAGTACCGAATTTAATTGTATATAGTCTGCATTATATAAATAGTGTGAAATCATTCATTAAAAATAAATCCCTAAATCTTAAAAACAAGTGTATAACCATTAATCTTCCTTTTCCTATATACTCCTATTGAAATACAAGAGTCATATGCACAAAAGAAAAGCTTTTCTTTCTGTTTTGAAATGTGTTCTTGCTTTCAAGGCTGATTTAATTTACGTAACCAAATGAAATTATTCTCCATATTAAACTGCTTAAAAATACAGGCCAGTTATTAATATTAATTTTCTGTGAATTTTTATTTCCTAAGTTTTCTTAACTGCTATCAGATTAACCGTGATTTTGGGTTAACCGAGGACGTCGCCCCCGCTATTACCCCATTAATGGGTAGATTTCTATAATTCGTATCTAATTAGTATCAATAATTATATAAGCTACTCTGTCTGTAATAACTGGAACTACAGTAGAATATACCCAGTAGAATACGATAGAATACGTGATATTGGTGGTGTATTTAATTATGGCAAAGCACACTAGGGCTATCTGCCTAAGAGGAGGGATGCCTTTCGTGGAGGACTTTCTAAGGGAAACTGGCTCGTATACACGTTACACATGGGGAAAACCACGAAAACACCCATGCAGCCAGCCCGTTCGCGGGATTCGAACCTCGGACCGAACTACCAGTGTTCAGCGACTATACCGCTCGGCCGCTGGTGGGCGAATACGTGATATTACCCAGGGTAATTAATAGCCTTCTGCAATTCTTATTTAATTAGTATCGATAATTACATAAGATATTTTATTTGTAGTAACTGGAATTATAAGTAAAACACATGATATTACCCCAATTAATGGGGAGTCTTCTGTAATTCTTATTTATTTAGTATCAATAACTATGCAGGCTACTGTACTTGTAGTAACTGCAATTACGAGTAAAACACACGATATTACTCTGGTTAATGGGTATTCTTCTGTAATTCTTATTTAATTAGCATCAATAATTATATATGATACTCTATTTGTAGTAACTGGAAATACCACTAAAAACATAATAGGCATCCTCTATATGTTTCCCGAAATACTTAACCTATTTCAGCGTGTAAATGGTTTTCAAAATAAATAACAGATATTCCAACATCACCCAACTTTGTTTAATTCCACAACGTAATTAAATTTTCAACTAAATTTCCTCATTTTTATAACATATATTATGTTTTTGCTCATAACGTTATGTTTCATTTTATAAATTAAAAAAATTCCAGGAATGAAACATATATATAATAATAGTTAACATGGTAGTTGACAGCTGAGTTTTGTTACAGACACATAATGAATCTCAATCAGCAGAAGAATTCAGTAGAGAATCCTATACATTTAATGCAATAGTAGATGAAGATTTTGTCTTTAATAGAACCATCTAGATCTTTGGCTTCTAAGATCTGCTAAATTATGCTTATTGCATTAAGCATTTGACACTGCTTGTAGATGGGACGCTTATTACTCAGCAAATAACTGGAATGTTAGTTATATAGAATTCGGCAGTAATTTCAGGAAACCTTTCGACACTGCTCCCTGATTTCAAAAGAAATCGATGATTCCTACCAGTCATTAAATACAAAAATACGAAAAAATTCCTAACGAATTCAATTCCTTTATCATTTTAATAATTAAATATAATAACATTATAAAGTTGGATACTGTGAGAAACAGCATACATGCATATACACCACACACCAACACATAAATATTATATATCTATATCTATATATATGTCTATATATAGTATAATTTATAATTTTGTATATTTTATTACTTTAGATAATTTATATATTTATATGTAATGAAAAATTTCAGAAATAAAAAAAACTTACCTTTGAGTAATTCGCCACTCGAATGTGTAAATGATTATATACGCACTAACATAATTTTTAAGAAGCTTGATTCAAACCTGCTTTTCATAGTATTTCTGAAAGAAAAATTTGGAAATTTGGGAAAAATCCAACTAGTTGATTGGTAAGAAACATAAAGAAACCTGTTTAATGTTTTTTCTTGGTACTGCAATTTTATTTATGCAAGAGTTTTCTACCACAATTTTTTAAAAAAGAGGAGAAATGAGATGTTTACATTATGTTTGGGAACATTTGATAAGAAAGTACTTAAAAAGCAAAGTTTTTTAATATTAAAATCTTTAGAAGTAGGATTTTAAAAACCATCAAACACCACTTGACAAAGAAAATGCATTACCAATAAGAATTTCTTGCAGCTCCACGCAATTTGTAAGGTGTATTCACAGGCAGAGGAGTTATGAAGACTGCTGCCGTTCTGAATCGAGCACGCATGACAGGGAAGCGATTGAAAAAAAGAGAGTGGAAATAAAAAAAGAAAACGTCTGTTAAGCTATTTTTTGTGAGCTATCCGTGGCAACAAAAATAAATTCTTTGCACGACGCAGAATAACGTTTAAGAAGTGAAAATGTATTTGAGACCTCGACGAAACCCATATGCGTTAACTAGATGTTTTATTACAGCCTAAATGCAGCTGTATCATTTTTACGCTGTATAACGCTATAAACGTAATGTGATGTGACAACTCTGCGTCAAATGTTTGAAAAATTAAATATGAACCGTCCTAGATGGTGTCAGTATATAGATGAAAGTAAGAAAATGTTATTCTTCGTACCATCACGCTATAGTAGCACCAAAGCCTACAACTGCTCTAGCATTTAACTGAGTCTATGAGGTCTGATTGTTCCATTATTGTTACAGACTATGATAAAATGAATTGAAGAGTAAACTTGCTTTCCCAAAATCTTCGAAGAAGGCTGCCTTCCCCTTTTTCATTCGGTCCATTTGCTTGGTCGTTATTAGATAAAAAAGTAAATAGGTAAAAAAATTAATGTTAATGGTGATTTTAAAAATTCCATCTTTTAAACAGGTAAATTTGAAAAGGCATAATTAATTAGGTAGTTAAAAATCAATACGTGCAAAATATATTTGTAGTTATCATTTAAGATTTAATTATTTTTGTTCGATAAAATATTTTCTGAAATATTGCATAAATATGTGGAAAAATTCATATCAGCTATTTTAAAGAATTTTTTTGTAGTCCAAAGGGGTTTTGCCCCTGAAGGACTATTGTTTTTGTTTTGCGATTTTGCGTTGAATCACTATAAACGGCGAATCACTTTTCAAACTGTTGCCACCAAATGTTAGAGTCCTGCATTATATATCTGAAGAAATTAAATAATGAAGAATCTGCATAAATATATGCCTATTTCTCGCATTGAGATAAAAAAACGGTACATAGAGCCATCGAACTTTGAATGGCGTAATCCTCCTACGAATATGGGCATGTGGATGACCAAATTTGAAATTTGGAATTTGTTTTATTATCGATTTCATATTTTGTAAAACTGTAACGAATTTTTGAGTAACAAACTCAACGATTTAAAAGCGAGCAATGGCAACACTCTACGGGGGAGAAAAACCTTTTTATTTCCAGCGCGCTGAACTGTGTATCGGAAATTCTAAAGATTTGCTCATTTTAAAATTATTTTACAACATTCCTATTGAACTGAATTTTATGGTTTAAGGGCAAAGAACATGATATTTAATAAATAAAGGTAACGCACAAAACGTTAAAAAAACGCCCCTCTGTACGTAATTTAAAATCTGAAACCTTTCAGTTTTTTTTTTTTTTTTTTTTTTTTTTTTTTTCTTCCGAAATGCGAACTTTTGGTAAAGAAAGAATTTCAGCTAAAAAATTCTTCAAATTTCGAAGTGAAAAAATTTGATGGTACAAAGTAAAAATTATTATATTTCAATCTTCATAACTCATACATCACAAGTAACAACTTTTCAAGCAAGAAGCGACAAAATATTCAACAACAACAACAAAATATTCCATCGGTTTTTGTAAATAAAAAGTAACTGGTATAAAAAGCAGGCCTGAAGTATCATTATCGCTTTGTTATAATCATTTTATTTAATTGCTATTATTTTACTTCCTTTTGCTTTGAAATCAACACATTTACCACGAACAAAAAGAAGGTTGAAAAAAAATTGCTTCCATTCAAAAAAAGAGGGGGGGGGAGAAAGATAAATTCGAGAACTTCTGACGTAAACGGAAAATGGACTCTTAACGCAACAGCTACAACTAAAAGAGGCCCCAATGGGGTGCGCTGAATGGAGTTGACCCAGGTCAAAATATCAAGCGGGTTTGTCGTTAGTTTAGCTGAAAGGTTTCCGAAAATAATTTCCAAAGGTCTTAATATCAGCGGTCACCAACCTCAATTTAACAGCAGTCCCTGAAACCAGAAGATAGGCACACTTAGCGTAATCATTTCCGGTGGTTCGAGGCTTTGTGTCGAGAGCCTCGCAAGCTTCGTAATCTTGCAGCTTTGATTTTTAATTTACTTATCTCATATGGCTCTTCTTTTATCTGCGTCATTCACAGTGCTTTATCCAATTAAACAGGTATCGCAAGCTAAATCCTCATTCAGTTTTAAGAAACTGAATCTTGCAACTCCTGAACATGCTAAATTTCAAAGCAATCCTGAGAATGTTGAAGAGTTTTAATACGCCTTTCTCAACTTTCAGAGCAGCAAGTTTAAATGTAGTAGCCTTTAGAGATTGCTATTAATTAAAAAAACATTTTACGCACATTTAAAGTATTTTCGCTCTTCGTTTGCACTGTAGGTATTGTAGAATATCGGCTGTGCAACATATTTCGGCAGAGTTTCAAAAAATATCGAAATATTATTGAAAATCTTGTAAATTTTATAATCATTGACGAAGTGTAATATATTCTAATACCTAAAACTCCAAATACTGCTAGTGTTTATCTACTGGAGAACTATTAATTAAAGCATTTTAGGGGGGGGGAGTACTGTGGCTGTTGAACTAAGATGTTTGATGTGGCTGTACTGTCATTCAAACTGCCATTAGCACCGGATGCCAGGCCTGTCGTTTGTTTATGTGTCGGGGTTGTTGCAATCACTCATATCAATGGGTTCTTCCCTCTTCAACCCACTGAAGCCAGATACATTCTCATTACCGTGGCCTTATTCCGTCCAACACGCTTACAGATACCTCAGGAGGAAAATCCGCCTTTTCGTAATCTCATAATTCTTCCTCAATCAAACCTTGAAACTTGGTCGTATCATTGCTGTGTTTTTTATCGAAGCACCCAACCATGAACATGATCAATCTATGAATCACACCACCCATGATTCTTTCATGAACAAAACCAGCGACAACACTGGCCCTGAATTATCTCCTGTTATAGTACTTGGAGGAAGGAGCGCTACTGTTACATATTACTTGCATATGTGTTGCGCTGTTAACCATTTACATGCTTATCTATAACCTACATACAGATTGGCAAATTTTCGATGTGTCTTTCCCGCTATTGAACTTTTAATGCATTAAAGGAATTGAATACTCCACCGTAGCACAAGCAGTCCAAAATTTCATTAACAAGCATAAACTGCCCAGATTTAAAATAAAATTGTGTAAAGCAGCTTAAGGTAGACTTATTATTAATAATGATAATATGATTAGGCAATTAATTATAAGAACATATTGAAGTTGCCCAATTTAAAATTATGCAGTGGTTTCACTTATAAAGCAATACACGCAGCGATTCCGTACTTCTTCGTTAAGTTTTACAGGTCATCTTTCTCTCGCCTGTGGGCGAGAAAATGCAGCTGCTCCAGTTTAGCAATCCAAAAGCATTTATCGTGATTTTGAATGCTAATGCACAAGAATGTAAATCTATGAATCCTTACGAAAGGAACTATAAATAAATTTATCGACCTAAATTACACAAAAAGAACAGCAAGTATAATTCCCTCTTCTAGAAGCAATGTCCTAAATTTGTGTTGCTGCTGTGAAGACAAACATTTTAAAGAACTGAAGCAAAAGACTGTCTTTTTTTTCCTCTTTCCTGTTACGATGATTAAAAAATTTAAAAAAAAAGTATAAAATAATTTTGTTTCGTTAAATATTTTACCCTCATTTTACCATAATTATTTTGCTAAATTTTGTTTAAATGCATCTTTTTTCCTATTAAAACTAAGAAACAATTGAATGGACAAAGAATAATATTTTGCACTCTTAAAAAAATTTTATGGTACGTTTAATTTTTATCTTTTCAATAGCACTAAATTAGTCCTGTTCATAAGAAACTTTACATTTTGCTTAAATTGTTATTCTTTAACTTTTCACACTTTTGCTTTCACGTTCATTGCATAAATATCGCAATGCATAGATAGAATAGAAACGAACAAATAACTTTCAATTCTTACTTCCATCGGTTTGGAAGACACTTCCTAACTGTGCCAAAGTATGTATGTTTGTACAGATTAAAGTATCTAATAATAAGGTCACTTATCATTGTGCTGTATATTAATTGAGGAAAAGAAAGAGCAAAGAAAGAGCTTGTGCATTCAATCTATGGGGTGCTTGTTATGTGCCTTTGGCGGGAAGGCATCGTAAAGATGTTCAGAAAGGAAATTAGCGGATCATATTGCATTAGGAGAATGCTTATAATTTTGGACCACATTTCTTCTTAAAATTACATTTAAATTTCGAAGAAAAAATTACCAAAGGGAAAACTTTTGAGCACATATTTAAATATTATGTATATTTTATATGGTATAGTATAAATATTTATGATGACATTGTTCCTGTCTACCAAGCCACTATTCATATATACACTACACCAAAAGGCTACTACTACATTTCTACTCTATTTTTGTGCTTCTGTTTCGTATTTACCGAACCAAAGAACTAAAAACGTTACGTCCTGTGACCAGGAAAGTGATGTTCAGATATCCTTCAATATCTGTAATTAGGAAATAAGCTGTTGATTTTATTATTTCGGATTCGCGTGGAAAGGAGGCAGAAAAAAAATTAAAATATTATCTGGTAAAGGCAACAAAGATATGAAACTTGTAGAAATGCCGCCCAAACGGGATAGTGGTTAGTGACTCTGACAGCCATACCCAAGGGCCCATGTTTGAATTCTGGAGAAGACATGGATGTTTGTAACTGTATAGTATCTACGCAGCATGAGGGCACTTAAAATATACGGCGAACTGAAAGTCCTCTCGAGAGGCTGTTGGTAGGGAAAGAGGCGCCGAAGGCCCTCGGACCGTTTCCCAGTGTGCTCCTCTTCAAAACGGGGGGTGGAACTGTACAAAGTCACACTGTTCCCGATATGATGCCCAAGGCTGCTGCCAACGACAGGCGCCATCTGGCCTTTTCACCGCGAAGAATTTCGGGGATTTTCCTGATTTCAGAAGCGAGAGTAGTTACACCAACTTGTAGAAATAAAAATGCCTCAGGGTACATGACAGTCAGTCAATCAGACCGGTTGATTGATGTTGTAACAATAGCTAAACTTTCGTGGACTGTCTGTTTAGTAAAAAAAAAAAAAAGACCCTCTTCGTAAGAGCTTTCCAAATAGCAACGGGCTCGTATTTAAGGTTACAAACACAATGCGAAATTACTTCAAAGGGATCTTTGTTCTGTAAGTGATAGTAAGTTAGATAGTTGTAGAGTCATTATTATTATTATCATTTTTTCTTCTTGCTGGAGACGAGAAAAACGTGCCGCTCCCTCACCGGGATTCGAACTACGGACCTCTCGGATACAGGGCTAAAGAAAGACAAGGGTTGTGTCATTCCTTCGAGGGGAATTTCATTCCTCGATAGCGATACGAACCCTCTCGTGGAGCACACCAGATGTTATGTGACGGCTACCTCGCCTACTGACCAAAACTCACAGTGTGAAAGCTTAGATCTCCTACTTCTTAGGTTCATAGAAAGAAGTTCATTGTACTAGAAAATTATAACTGAAGATATTTTTTAACTGAATTTGTGCTTAGAAAATGTTTGTAACGTGAAAATATTGAGAAATGATGTCGTGTGTCGTCGCTACCTGCGGTACTGTGTATCATAAAGCAAGCATAAGATTTCATCGATTTTCTCATAGAAGCATTCAGTTAAGAAAAGAGTAGCTGCATAGATGTCAAAGAGCGGGTACTGTCGATACAAAGAATGCTAAAATCAGCAACAACCATTTCAGTGAATCTGAGTATGAGAATAATGATATGTAAAATATTTGTTGGGATTACAGACAAAAAATATTCTATCCAAATTGTTAATGTACCTGACTTGGTAAGTTATCAGAACACATCAAGGCAGCAAAGGCAACAAAAAAGAAAAAAATATATGAAGTGCGTTTTATGAAATTCAGAATTCAAGTTCTATAAAGGCATGTCTTGAACTTCAAAATGATAACAGCAATAGCCATGAGGAAAGTCAATATGCAGTACTGTAATTGTTCGAACCTCTAACACAATGTTAGTAATTACAGGATCTGAGAAACAGCATTTAAAAATTATTTTACAGAATAATTAATTAATTATTTAAAAATATCTGAAAGTTTTCCGATTTTTTTATTTTATATTACGCCCAAGGGGGGGTTTCATTTATACATACATACACATGTCGAGAGAATTTGGGCTAAAAATATTTAAAAACAGCATATCTTTAGAATTTCCGATAGACAGTCTCGCACGCTAGAGATAAAAATACTTTATTCCACACAGTGTTGCCACTGCTCGCTTTGAAATCGTTGAGTTTCTTAATCGAAAATTCATCAGAGTTTAAAAGTAGGAAATAGATAATAAAACAAATTTGAAATTTAAGACTCGGGATTCCAGCTGCCCATGTTCAGGTGGAAGACTACATTATTCAAAATTTGATAACTCTAGGTATCGTTGTTTTTTTACAATGCAAGAAATATGCATACATTCATACAGAGTCTTGATTATTTAATTTCTTTAAATATAATACACAGCGATAATATTTGATGGCATCAATTTGAAAAGTGATACAGCTTTTTACAGCGATTCGACGCAAAATGCTGTTTTCAGATTAATAGCCCTTCTGGACTAACACCCTTTGGGTTAAAAAATATTTTAAGAACTAAACAACTAATATAAATAATAAACAATATAAACAACTAAGAATAATAAACAACTAAGAAAACCGGAATGAATGAAATTCTGCATAAAATAAATTATTATCAGAATATATACTTTTAATGTATAAGAATATATGCGTGAATATACTTAAACTGGTATTTGTATACGAAAGTATACAAATATTGGTCTAAAATGTTTTCATTATTTTATGAGCAAGTGACGCTGCATAATAATGGTGATGATCCATAATAACACTTTTATAGCATTGTAAAAGCTTACAGAAAGTATGATTTACTCGTTCCAAATGCTAATTGAATCATAAAAGTAAAAGAAGCGAAATTTGTTTCGATTTAATATATTACGAAACCTATTAATTAGCATTAATTATTTTTTAATCAAGTAGAGGAAAAAGGCCTTTATAACATATATTCTGAAAATGTTCTTGCATATTTTTATATAATTTTCCCATTGCAGAAATTATTTTGTGACTAACATCAAAAGCTTTATTTGCGTAAATATTTATAGTTTAAAGGCAAAAGGAATTCTTCCATAAGTGAAGAAATTTATGAATACTTATTATTAATTATTTACATATATTTAAAAAATTATTTTGAAAAAAAATGAATAACAGTTAATGCATATTCCATCTTAAAAATTAGTTTAAGATTATGTTTTATGTATACTATAATTCAGTATGTGTACTATATTCAACTGTATCACTAACTTAAATGCGTATAATTTCATGTCCTAAATCTTAACTCATATTGTCTACTACACGATTCTTCAAAGCTTTTAATTTTCAAGGAAATACTTAATGAAGCTGAAGGCCGAATAAGGCACTCTGAATGCAAAGGATTAGCAAGTGAACCCATCTACGTCACCAATCTGTGCGAGAAGATGAAGAATCAGCCCTTTAGCCCTGCCTGGGATACGCATCGAGTATGCTTTCAGTTACACCACGAAAGGATGCGGAAAGGGAGGAGAAAATACTTCATATACTCCCCCTATCAAAGGGTGGCTGGGGATGAAGGGACCCTGTCGTCAAATCCTGTTAGTGACAAATTATCGTCCACCACCTCTTTAGTTCGGACGCCATTGTAGACTCAGTAGGCCTCTTTTGAAGCAGGAGACGTAAAAAATGGACAGTACCTTCGCCGGGACTCGAACTCCGGACTTCTCGAGTACACGTCGAGTGTGCTTGCAGTTGGCATGCGGAAAGGAAGGAAAAAATACCTTATAACGTTACTGGCCATTTGTAACTAAAGTTTTGCCATTGATCAAGATATGAGGCTCTTTTATACTCGACAAATAATTTTAAGCTATTTAAGTTAACTTTCAAATTATTAATAACATATATTTGACTAAGACATAATTTAAAATATATATATAAACTACAAAACACCTAACTGAAAATGTGTGTGGAAATTTGTAGAATTAACGTGTTCCATAAATGATGTTTAGGAAGCATTATTTTACTTACCTGGTACCGAAACGTTAAATATATTTTTTTAAATTTTAAAGCCAAATCTTACAAAATAAAATATTAAAATATCAATAAATGAATAATAAAAAATTCAGAGTAAAATTATTATAATTTTTATAGAAAAATTTAAAAAAAAATAATTTTTAAGCTATTATTAATTTATTTCTTTCTGTGTTATACTTAATATAATAAACTTAGTACGAAGGTGTCTAGATCAAGCTAATTTCCAAATGAAAATCTTTTTCGAAAATTAATTCAATAATAAGGTCAATTTTTGCCTAATTTTAAAGTTTGTTAACATGTCAAAGTTCAGATTTAATTTTTTAATTATTTTCTCTTCGTTATGACTAAACTATATCATTAGCATAATAAATTTTACCGAAAAGAATATTATAAAGGAACAGAAAAACTTAGACAAAAATGATAATTTTAGACTTCATAATTCGCATATTAATTGCGAATAAAATTGAATAAAGAAAAAAGTGTAATGAATAATAATATGCAATCATTACGCAGATTTTAGTGAAATCAATTTAAGAACTTCTTATTAATAATTCAATTTTTATTAATTTAAAATTCTTATTGTAACTGAAAAGATTAAAATAATGACGTAATAAATACAGTGCATAAATAATAAATACAATGCATGAGTTACTCACGGTATAAAAAAGTACTTCTAGTTTTATATATAAAACACATATAATACAATAAAAACATTGCAAAAGAGATTTATATAGAAAAAGAAAAAGCTATGAAATAAAAGTTGCACATTTATTCTTTTATGTAGTTATGCAAAGTGTTAGAAGACATATTTTTTAAATTAAAGCTGATATAAATAACAAAAATATTAGCTGAAAAGATTCTTAAGTGAAATATTATTTTATAAGAGAATCGATAAATATATGATTTGAAGCTTGTAAGATTAAGTTTTGGGAAAAATGAAACTGAAACCACAATATTTAAACAATTACAATTTTACAATTCATAACAAATTAAAAAATCCTTGCAACTTTTTGAAATTATTTCTTTATTAAAAACGAACACTCTTTAAAATCATAATAAACCTATAAGCTGGCAGCTTGATAAAAGATCATTTCAAATAAAGTTGAAAAGAAGAATTTGAAGAATCATACTTTCATTTCGTTACCTGCGGCCTTACCTGAGCAAACAGTAGCTTAGCATATCGGGAGAAATCTGGGAGAGCACTGAACGCTAAGCGTTCAGAATACCATTAAGCTGCTGACTGCGCTGACAGACACTGAAAAGGGACAGTCTGCCTCCTCAAAGCTACCCCCGTCATCATCCTGCTCGGAGAGTGGAGAAGATACAGACTGCTGTAATGAACAATAGCATTAATGCAATTTTTGTCACATATATATACATATACATGTATATATGTATATAAATGATAATGTATAAACAACGAATTATAACTGGCACTTCAGAAATAAAATTTAAACGTCAGACATGACGTCAATTTCAGCCTGCGACATAGAAGCACATCTATATTTAGGGCCGTATAATGACACACGCTGAGGACTAAAGTAGACCTCAGGGGCGGCAAACATTTCGAGAAAGAAAGTAGCTCTAATTGCACAAAAGCGTCAGATTCAAAGGAAATTATATATTTTCTTAATTTACAATTATATAGGCCTCAACAAATGAAATTAATAAGGACTTCATTAATTCGATATATCTTTACGGCATAAATAAAATAAATAAAACGAAATTAAGTAGGCGCATTTGTAGGCAGGTATGGGAAGTGATTAAAATACAGTAAAAGAACGGAAACGTTTATTCCTTGTATTATGTAATTAGAAACTTATTGGAAATAATTTTTAAGTAAATATATGTGCTTAAAATGTGAAAAATTACGGTTTAAAGCATGGAAGAATGGTAAATGACGATGGAAAGTTTTAGTTTACATTATACAATAATCAATAATACTGCTTTGTAATTACCTGTCAGCCCACTAGGGGTTGAGCGGTAAAGTCGCTGAACGCTGGTTGTTCGATATGGGTTGGATTCTATGCGAACGGGCTGGCTGCATGGGCATTTTTGTGGTTTTTCTCATGGGTAATATACGGGGATGCGAGCTATTTCCTATAGAAAGACTTCCACGAATGCATCCTCCCTCAAAAGGCGGATAGTTCTTGTGTGCTTTGCCGTAATCAAATGAACCAAACTAAGTTAACTATCTATATTTTAACACAATTAAAATGAGCCGATAACCAGCGTATATTTTCTTCCTAAAAGAATGATGCATATCACTCTTTTAGCATTTCACTCTTTTAGTAGAAAATTGTTTGATGCGTATTGTTTTTTTAATGAAAAAGAGCTAAAACTATAATAGGTTTCTGGTATTATAATAGTCATCTGAGTACTTACGTATTATCCCGTCGAAGGGCCAAGTAGCGCCGATTATGGATGACTAACTTCCTTTAAAATTCCGCAGTAACGATTGGCAACTGTCGGCCGCTGCAGAAATTTCTGTTAGTAGTCGACGGGATAATAAGTAAGTACCATCATTGGTTTGACGAATTTTTTTCAAACCTACAATTCCTGTTTCTTTGGGTGATAATGCAGTAGTTCTAAAAATGTGTATAGTGAAGTTATGTCAAATTTGAAAGATTTTGTATAATCGTTAAATAAATTCAAATTTCTCTCCTTATGTTAACTTCCTCTTGCTGGTCACTTTAATTCTAATACTGCACAGAAATGATGCTCAGATCCAATCAAAAATGAATAAAAAATTTGATTTATTCAAATCCTCCCAGAACACTTTGTTTTATGATTTTCGTCATTAGCAATAACATCTAAAATCATAAAACAAAGTGTTCTGGGAGGATTTGAATAAATCAAATTTTTTATTCATTTTTGATTGGATCTGAGCATCATTTCTGTGCAGTATTAGAATTAAAGTGACCAGTAAGAGGAAGTTAACATAAGGAGAGAAATTTGAATTTATTTAACGATTACATAAATCTTTCAAATTTGACATAACTTCAATATACGCATTTTTAGACCTACTGCATTATCACTCTGAAGAAGGGGGGCAGAATGCTAAAAACTGGAAACTAAATTCGTTTATAAATATCGTCCAGAAAAAAAAATTTAAAAATTTAAAAAAAATCTTTTAAAGATTAAATGAGCTCACCAGCTCACTAGCAACGGTAAAACAGCTGAGCACTGGTATTTTCTTTTTTAATTACGTGCTCCAGCATTCGGCACTATTCAGCAAAGGGGGATGCTCCGTGAAGGACATTTTAAGGAAAACTGGCTCGTATCCACGTTACACATAGGGAAAACCACGAAAACGCCCTTGGAGCTAGCCCTTTCGCCGGGATTCGAACCTCAGACCGAACTACCATATTCAGCGGCATTTACTGCTCGGCTGCTGATGAGTCACACTATTAGTTTGACTCGGGTTAAAACCATTGCGAACGGACTGGCTGCATAGGAATTTTTATACTTTTCCTCATATATAACGTGAATACAAACCATTTCCCTTAAAAAGTTCCCCGCAAAAGCCTCCCTCCCCCTTAGTTAGGTAGTCCGTGTGAGCTTTGCTGTAATCTAAGTAGTCTAAAATGTAAGAGAAATCCATTAGGAAGAACTTTCATTCGAAGAGAAAACATGGCGATTTTTTTGAATTTCTCTACCTCCATCATGCATATCATTTTGAGCGATTTGCAACAATTTTGCCTCTTTGCGGATTTTGTCGATGGACTAGCAAAAGCTCTGATATATCACCTGTTGATATTCTTTACACGACTGTATAGTACCAGAACTTCTGAACAGAAAGATCAACTTGACCGAGACGGAATAAACTTAGATTATTTGGATTACAGCAAGGCATACCAGGAATGTTCACCTACGGGATAGGATGCAATCGTGGCAGACGTTTTAAGAGAAATTAGATCGTATTCACGTTCGATATAGGCGCAACTACGAAAACTTCTTTGTAGTCAGCCCGTTTGCCAGAATTTGAAACCGAGTCGAACTTCCAGTATTTAGCGGTTTTACCACTCAGCGTCTGAGGGACACCTGAAATATTATAAGTAGATTCAGGTAATAAGTGTTTGTACATTACTTTGTTGAAAAATGGAATTTTGTCGTGATCCTAAATAAGAATAGTAACAAATACAATTTGAACTTATTTTTATGGTAATCAAACGACAACTAAAAGCGATGTATTTTCAAAGAACTCCCTTCTCTGAACATGGCATAACGAATTTGTTTCCGTAGAGAAGGAAATGAAACTTTAGTGGAAAACTGTAAATAAATCTTGAGCAATTTTCTCTTGTAAGGCCCAACTTATACTTTTTCATAACTAATATCATACTTTGGAAATGTAAGAATCACTTCCAGGTTTGGTTTGGTTTCGGCAAAGAACTCTAGGTCTATCTACCTAAAGAAGGAATGCCTTCGTGAAGGATCTTCTAAGGGGATCTGGCTCGTATAGACGTTACACATGGGGAAAACCACAAAAAAAGCCCATGCAGCCAGCCCGTTCGCCTGGAATCGAACTCAGGTCGAATCATCAATGTCCAGAGCGACTTCACCCCCCTCATTTTGAGGAGTATATTAACTGCTCACGAGAAATAGCTACGACCAGCACATTAATTTTTAAAAAGAGTAATGGATATGTTTTTTTTTTTTTTTTTCTTAACCAATGGCGGGGCCCTCAGCCGTTTTCGGCTTGGCCACTACTAAGGCCTGAATAAAGTGACTACTAAGACCATTATTAAGTGCATCCATAATAAAGTGACCACTACGGTCACTTTATTATGGATGCACTTAATAAGCGGGCCACCTTTGCCTCCTATGAAGAGGCGGACAATTACAACCATGCCTTCTCCGGGATACAAACACGGGCTCTTTAGTATCGCAGTTGGCTTCTCTAACCACTATACCGTCTGGGCGGCGAAATGGTATTTTTTAAGAAAAAAAAAATTATCGTAAGTAACCTCATTAGACTAAACAATGTTATCAACTTTAAAGAAATTCAGACATGTATAAATAATTAAAAGCAACGGTAGTACGGAGAATTTGGAGAAATTACAAGCAGAATTTAATAACCGAAGGCTTTCTCTACGTCAGAGAAGACGGGGCTACCGTATTATTTTGGAATATTCTAGCCTAGAAATGCAACTATAAAATAAATTCCAAGATTATTTGGGAAGTGCAAGCTCTAAATAACGAACTAGAGACTTATTTCCCGAAACATAAATAGAGAAAGGTGCATTTAGAAACGCCATAAAAATCAGTATAAATATACTATTAAACCTTGAAGTTCACGCATACGCGTTGCATGGAAAATTGATCAGTGTTATTAAAGCTAGGTAACTTGAAAATAAAATTTGAGTTACCTAAATAACATTAGTGTTGTTTACTTAAGGCTCGAATAATTCATACCGCAACGAAATGCTTGCGAACGTTAATATATGGTTTTTAAGACCCAGCTGCTTTGCATTCAGAAATAAATTGACAACTAACGGTGAATACTTTAACGTTAAAATATAAGACGATATCTTATAATGTAACATAAGATCTATATAGAAGAATTACCATTAAACTTAAATCATTCAGGCAATCTACTTTTCCCGTTGAACCTCAAAACGCATTTAGAAACGCCATAAAAATCAGTATAAATATACTATTCAACCTTGAAGTTCACGCATAGGCGTTGCATGGAAAATTGATCAGTGTTATTAAAGCTAGGTAACTTGAAAATTAAATTTGAGTTACCTAAATATTGTTCGCTTAATCTTAACTTTTAATCTAATCACATAATCTTTACAAGCTGATCCGGTGTAAATATTATTACCTACTTCTAACCAACACATACGGCGGAAGTTACTGAAATTGAACATTTTTATGCCCATCGCGAATTTCCTGATAACAGAATTGGATAAAAGTAATCACATAATTGGATATCAAAAACGAAGGCAAGTATTTCCGTTAGGAACGGAACCGGAAGTATGGTAAAACTTATAATTACATTTTCAACCGGGATTCCTGGATGTTTCATGATGGGTTGCAAGTAAATGCACCTCGACAGAGTTTTAATTATTTAACTTAAAGTTGTCTACACCAGGGGTTCTTAACCGGTGGTACGCAAGAGAAAAGTAGGTGGTAATGAAAGAAGCAAAGTATTTTCAGGTATTAAATTTAAATATTAAAATCCCAACATCCTGATTGAGTTCTTTCTCTAACACTCACAACTTTATGCGATCTGAGCTTTGTTCAAGAGTGGTGGTGGTAGTAGTACTTTGTAGTGGTGATACTAAAGGTTTTCAATTTTTTTTAGATGGTACGTGTTAATCAAAAG